TTCTTTACGCTCAGCGGAGTATATTTCATACATGTTTAGGACTAGAACCAATTAAGTATTAGTACAATTAGAAAATCATGTAATAGAGGTCAATTGTTATAAAGGAAGGGAAATATCGAATGTCACTGGAAAATTAGGGTAGATTAGATAGAGATATTATATTAGATAGAGACAGAAACGAAGTTGTGAAACAGCCGCATATGGACCCTCAAATGGTTTTTGCTAAAGTTTGTAAAATGTTAATTGAGTGGCAATTCCTCTACTTCAGTCATCGATTTAAAAAAACACTTTCTAATCAGCCGTTTCTTAAATTTATACATCTCACATATCCAAACGTTTGTTTTTTTTTATAGTTTAATTCTATATATCTGAAAATAAGAGAAAAACAAATAATAAATACTAAACATTGATTTAGAAATCCATATAAATTAATCAAGGAATGTATGAGTGATCACAAACGTGTTTAACACCGCATCATTTTGCATAATCAGTGAATGTGAAATTTTGATCAAGACCCTCATTTGTCATACTTTGAACGACAAAATTATTTTATATCTTTATTAATATTACTTTTACTGTTAAGTCTGTTTTTGTGATATCCTTTTGACGTGACTCTGTACTTGTGCATCCCGTCATACTTTGAACGACAAAATTATTTTATATCTACCTGTGTGACGTCAAACGCGCGATTCTACGTCATATTTAATGTTCGAACAGCGGTATACTACTGTTGCCTTTATTAATCTGGCCATGTGTCTGTCAGGGTAAGGATTGGGTCCCAGTTCAATCTTTCAATTCTTTATGGGTGGATTTTACATAGATAAATAAAATCTTATAATAAACTGTTAACACAGAGATATGTCTCGCCTATTTGTTATTTTGATAATGCAAATGTTGAAATTAAAATTACAATACTTTAACATGTAAGTTATGCAAATATTCAAAGTCAATGAACCATGACTGAATGTACAGGGCTAAACAGTCTCCATTGAAATGAGCTGTGTCAATGCTTATACAACTGCACACCAAATACCATTGACTTTTCATAAGTCGTTCCCTTTAAACAAACCTAAACACAAACATTAACTTGTAAACTATGTAAAAGTTTCAAAGTCAATGAAACATGATTAGGGGATGGGGTTATATAATCTCCATGGAAATGAAACTTGCAAATGCAAATACATTTACATACCGAATATCATTGACCTAACATTAATGGTTCATCTTAAACTGACCTAATCACAAACTAATACATGTAACCTAACCAAAAGTTTCAAAGTCAATAGACCATGACTGAGAAGTAAGGACCAAATATTCTCCATCGAAATTAGATGTGCTAATGCCTCTACAACTGCATACCAATTATCATTGACCTCCTACTAACGGTTCCCCTTAAACTGACCTAATCACAAACTAATACATGTAAAAGTAGCAAAAGTGTTAAAGTCAATAGACCATGACTGAGGGGGGCGGAGCCAAATAATCTCCATGGAAATGAGATATGCCAATGCTTATCCAACTGCATACTAAATGTAATTGACCTACCACTAGTGGTTCCCCATAAACTGACCTAATCACAAACTAATACATGTAAACTAAGCAAAGTTTCAAAGTCAATAGACCTTGACTGGAGGTGGGGCCAAATAATCTCTATGGTAATGAGATGTGCCAATGCTAATACAACTGCATACCAAATATCATTGACCTACCACTAGTGGTTCACCATGAACTATACCTAATCACAAACTAATACATTGTTGACGCCGCCGCCGACGCCGGAAACAGCATACCTATGTCTCGCTTTTTGACTCCGTCAAGGCGAGACAATAAAAAAGCAAAATGAGGTTGTTAAATTTGATGTATGCGTTTTTGTGCTTCTTTGTTACATTTGTTTGTTTTTTATAGTTATGAAGATGATTACACAATGTTGATTGCTGTACCCCTATTTTTGACATTTTCACCTATTGTGTCTGTTTGTTTTGTTCACACATCGTTGTCAATATCGCTACAGTTCAAATTGACCGAATTTGATGCGACTGTCATACAAGTGAGAGGTTTAGCTGGCTATAAAACCAGATTACGATCCACCATTTTCTACATCCTGTACCAAGTCAGGAATATGACAGTTGTTATCCATTCGTTTGACAAATGTTTGATGTGTTTGAGCTTTTGATTTTGCCATTTGATTAGGGACTTTCCTTTTCGAATTTTCCTCGGAGTTCAGTATTTTTGTGACTTTACTTTTTGTCATATGTTCATGAAAAAACATATTTACGAACACGAGTATAATGTTCAAATTTGATCTGATCACAACTTCATAGCAAACCACCTTTAACAAAGCCTTTTTAACCTATAACCTTACAAGGAAAACGACTTTAAATCATAATCCTGATATTGGATTTATATGTGCACGAACAGACGGACAAATTCCTGCACAGACTGGAACACATAAAAGCCTATTTTTTTCTTGTTTGGCAGATACACAAAATAATAATCATTTTAGCCGTGTTTCACAATGGTCATAAATGAATAAAGGAAGGTGTGACATATAACCAAAAAAAAAAGAAGGTGTGTGGTATGATACTAATACAACTATCAAAAATAAACCAAATGACGTACTATTTACAACAGTGGGCAAAACCTATTTTCTAATGTAACATGGTTATAGAATTGCAAAATTTAAAACAATTCAAACAAAGAAACAATTTACACAGCAATCAACGAAAAACAAGTATAAAACAAAGTCACATCATCATAATAAAACTACGATAGGTATATAACGTCTTGAATAAGATAAAGACACGAGATATACATGATATATAGCAACTAATATTCGTAAAAAGCATAAACCATGGATAAAAACGATGTTCGCGTAATCGTTTTTTTTTAACTGTTTTAGGACATGAAGGGATGAATACAAAGAAAAAATATGAATTTAATTTTGTTCATTCGTTTTCCACAGAAAGCTTTTATCCTAGATAGTTTTGGTAATTTAGAGTGTCAATATATTACTATTATTTATGAAATAAACAAGTAATTAGAAACTACACAGACATCTGAACAATAAGTAGTCTTTTTATATAGGCCTCGTTTTATTTTCAAGCTTAAACACTTCGACAAAGGCGGTTCTCTTTCAGAAATTTAATTTAATAAGTCGTACTAAAAGAGTGGTTTTTTTTTATAACAAGACAACATCGAGTTAAAACATAGCTGTAAGTCATGGTTCGATACTGTGATCTTTTGGGTTTTTTTTCAAACTTTGTTAAGTATATACTACTGTTGATTATGTTTTTTTTCAAACTCTAACCAGTGATCTAGACACACTTAACAATAATTTGTATTTCCAATACACAAAAACCGAGTATGTCATATTGTTGAAAAGGAAGAATGTACCCAATTACCCTCATATTTTGAAATATAATCGTACTTGGTTTTACATAGGCAAACATTTGTAAAAATGTCAGTAGATTAAACACTTTTCTGCGGGTACAACATATATTCCCCGGTTTATGCATTGAACATTTGTATTAATCTTTCAGCAGTTCACTATGCAGGAGTAATTAATGATAACTGCTAGAATTGATTCTGCAAAAATGTCATATGTCTCATATCGTTCATCTTAATCAACGGAGCTAAAATAACTGTCGTACAAGTGGAATGTTTAGCAAGGATTGAAATCCTGTAACCCACCCACATTTTTTTTTTTGGGGGGGGGGGGGGGCGGGAATACCTATTAAAATCAAATATGAGAGTCGTTTTCAGTCGTTTTCCAGTGGTTGTTCTGGTTATTATAGTAGTTTGCTTTTTCATGTTATGAACTTATTCCCTTATTGAAATTACCCGTGAGTAAAGTATTTTTGCTATTAAATATTATTCCTAAAACACGTCTTAACAAACTTAAGGTTTTAGACACACATATCTGTACAAAAATTAAAAATGATTGATAACCAATTTATCTCTGTATCTCTGTCCATCAGTCCATATTAATCCTAAACACTATAAATGAAGATGTCATGCATACTTGATTCCCATCAGCACACTACAACTATTTTCATCTCTGTAGGATTAGAAACTTAGATAACGGGTCAGCAAGCTTTTTTGGTGTGTTTTGAAAGTTGTCAAAGAAGAATATGGATTTGTGTGGTAAACAGATATATTGACCCTAAATCTCGACTAGGGCTTAGCGTAAATGATAATTGTACGACTATGATTTTACGTTCTGTCAATATATCTGTATTGAAAGCACAGGGCAGTATTGAAATCTAAGCGTCCAATAAACACAAACAACCGAATTTAAACGTGTTTGCTTATTAATGATTGTGATTTATTCTATTTCTGTGTTTTCTTGTATACTTGGGTAACTAGACATGTAACTATGTTTCCAACATTGGCCACAAAACTAGAAAACAAAAGTTGGCCCATTTAAATATCCAATAAAATATAACCACTGGTTTACTTTTGAAGAATATATTTTATATTTTTTATATTACTGATATGATTGGATTCTAAATTGCAAGTTTATCGATATAATGCCCGAAAAGTTATGTGGTAGAATCTTGAAATAGACGTGTCGGTGTCTAAAATTGCCAGCGACATGTTTTTTGCGGTTTTATATAAGTTGATTAAAAAAACGTCGTCTCATCTGTAATGGTGCAGATTGTGTGTTATTCCCGACCGTAAGATTTTATTGAGTGTCAATTGGCATGGCAGGTAATGCTGACATACCAAGAGATACTTACCCTGTAGACGAATCTGGTTAGCTTTTCCATACGATTCCTTTAGTTTATGTTTTTGTCTCTTTCTAATAAATTCTATGAGAGTTTAAAATCGGTTAAATTTCTATCAACAGTTTATTTGTAAATAACTTGGCTAAAGTAATATTTCCCAAACTACTTACAGAAGAATAGGTCTTTTAATTTGTTTGCATTAAATTGTCATACCAATTTTGTAAAAGTTCTTGAAATGTTGAGAAAGTAGTATATATTTTTTTTATTTTCAGTAATCATAAATTTACATTTATCATGGAATAAAGATGTATATGCAACCAGACTTCTTCTGGCATCAGTTAATCAGGCTTAGCGTCTACACTATTACATTTGTTACTTTATTTATTATATATATAATCACGATAATGTCCTAAAACGTTTTTAATTTTAAAGAGACATACACACAATATGGTTTCTTGGCACATTTATTGCATTTCTATCACTATGTGATATTACTATACATATTCCTTAGCATTTAAAACTAGATATCTTCACAGGCTGATCTGTTTATCCATCTTTTACCACCGTCTGAAGCATTAGTTTCTGAATCCTTTTGTAATTTTTTGTTCCTGTTATGTTGTTGTCTCAGTGTCATTGCAAAACTTGTTATTTGATTATCATGAATCAAATTAGTCAAATCTTTCTGAAACCTTTTATTCAAAAGAAGAATATTACCATGACTACTGTTTCTCTTTAATATAAGGTAGTATATTAGTTGTAGCTTCTGTCTTTAAGGCGGTCAATGTATTCTCATAGCCAACGTTGACGTTATTGGTAACAAGTATTAATCACTCCGATGACCTTCCGTAAACAAAATTCATATCATTGCCATAAATTATGATGATAAATTATGATATATTATCGCTTTGGTAATTATAACTCACCTTTAGGTTATGGTTGACTAAAATAATACACAACATATTGCCATGACCTTTATACATTATGGTATATTATCAAGTTTATGCGCATGACTTTTCACTTGGTATTGCTTATGGTTAAACCATATGAAATATATATGTATATAAACATTGATTACTATGACCTTATATAGCATGATAGAGTATCACTCTAATAACTTAAGCTATTGACTTAATACAGTGATGTTTACGATTGATACAATTAATACACACATCACATAAACATTAACATGCTGTCTTAAACTAAATATATCCTTGCTTAATACAGCTGCCGTTACAGTAATAATTTACCAATCTATGAAGTCAGTGGAACCAATTTTATCTATTTACAATAATTAGTGTTACACTTATCTTGATATGTTACTTTTACGAACATTTTCCAATAGCTATATGAATTGTCCTGACCACTTTAACTCGTCATCCTTAATGTCGTAACACTCGTATATTTCTTACTTTACTATATATGTAGGTTGATACATATAGAAGAAAGTTTCAGTAAAATAGTTCTCTTATAAATGTAATTTTTGCTTTCTAGTAATAGTTATACTATCTCTTTGTGATTATAAAACAATATACTAAAAAGTAAAATCACAAAAATACTGAACTCCGAGGAAAATTACTAAGACGATGTATGTATCATTGATGTAATTACTAACTCAAATCAGTATCATGTTAAATAAAATGCAAAAGAGATATTTTATCGTCTTAACTAGAAAAGATCTGCGTTGTTTTCCAGTAATATCTTTACTATTTCAATATTATTCTGTTGACAGGCAAAGTACAAAGGAGATGCTCCCGTATTTTCCCATTTATTAATGTCTGCCTTGTTATCCAGTAATACCTTCGCTATCTCTATATGATTTTTATAACAAGCAATACACAAAGGAGATGCTCCAGCATATGTACAACAATTAATGTCTGCTTTTTTAGACAGTAAACTCTTAACTATCTCTATATGATTCTGCTGACAAGCAACATGCAAAGGGGATACTCCGTCATCTTTACACTTATTTATATCTGCCTTGTTGTCCAGTAATACCTTTACTATCTCTATATGATTCTGCTGACAGGCAATAAACAGAGGAGACATTTCATTTTTCTCACATTTATTACAGTCTGCCTTGTAACTCAGTAATATTTTTACTATCTCTAAATGATTTTTTGTACATGCAATGAAAAGAGGAGATGCTCCATCATTCTGACATTTATCTATGTCTGCAGTTTTTCCAACTAAACACTTCACTATCTCTATATGATTCATCATACACGCAACAAACAAAGGAGATAGACCATTGGATGTACACTTATCTATGTCTGCATTTTTTTTAAGTAACATATCAACTATAGCTATATGATTATTCTGACTAGCAATATACAAAGGAGATAATCCATCATTTACACACTTATCAATGTCTGCATTGTTGTGCAGTAATACTTTCAGTAGCTCTATATTATTATTGTAACAAGCAATAAATAAAGGAGATGCCCCATCTTTTCCACACTTATTAACGCTAGCCTTGTTGTGTAATAATAAATTTACTATCTCTATATTATTATTCTCACAGGCATTAATCATAAGTGATCCTTCATTGTCTTTACCGCTACAAATGTCGGCCTTGTTGTTCAGCAAAATATTTGCTATCTCTAAATGATTGTTCTGACAACTTATATGCAAAGGAGATGTTCCATTAACTGTACACTGGTTAATGTCTGCCTTGTTGTGAAGTAATGCATTTACTATCTCTATATGATTCCTTTGACAAGCAATAAACAATGGAGATGCTCCAGTATCGCTACATTTATTTATATCTGTGTTGTTATTCGTCAAAAGTTTGACTGCTTCTGTATGTCCCTCTTGTGCTGCTACAAACAAAGGACCAACATCATTTTTGTTACACTGGTTAACATCAATACCATGATTAAAACACCACTGAATCATCATAATATCACCATAGAAACTACATCCTAACAAAACAGTGTCTTTAAAGACAACATCACACGTTTTGGCTAATTGTTTCTGGAATGACATATCAAGTCTTTTCAAATAACACAAGAATCTTACCCTGAACTCTGGTACCTTCATATTGATATTTTTAAACATTATTCTAACTTTTCCTGCAGACCAGTCATTAATCATTCTCTGTATGTACATCTGATGGTAATTAGACGGAACAACAGTAATAAACCGATCCATATCATACTTTTTTTCTAATAAAAATCTTTCCATAATAATGTAACTATCTGCATTCATTATCAAACAGTGAATCAAGTTTCTTCCAAAATATGATACCATGAAGTCAAATATCTTGTCGTGCAAACTTTTGTATGCATTTTGTTCCTTTTTAATAAAAGTACCCTCAAGTGCCTTCAATTCATCTAACATAATAAGTCGTGATGTACTTCTGTCCAGTCTACATGCTTCAAATGTGTTCTCTATAATTGCTTTTTTGTTTGTGTCTATCTCATCTATTAACCATTTCTCAATCAGATTGTTGTTGAACATAACACACAAAGCCAAGGCACAATATTTTCCATAGTATTTCTTTCTATGCAGCTTATGGATCTCTGCTTCATATACTGAAGACGGATTCCTAAATAAATCAGTAATATCTTGTTGAGGATTATCATGATATAATGCACAAAGAAGTGGAAAACAATCATATAAATCACAGTACTGAATAATTGCTGCTGCGTCTTTTTCAAGATATAACTCTGCAATTAACTGCTTTTCTATTGGTGATAAACATAGGTCTTCGGATAACAGGTTACATACACATGTCCTAAAAATTGATAAAGATTCAAACCTTTCGTCCTGATAAACTTGATATCGACATGCCACAATGATTTTGGTGAGTTTATTCTGTATGACTACATTGATACGCTCACGTACGGTTTCCCAACTGATAAAATCACAGTGGTCTAAAGACAAGTTTCCACACATATTATCAATAACAAATAACGTTTTCTTGTCTGGATTATAGAATGTAACAATGTCGTTTGGGCAGGTAGGCAGAAGTATGTCGTACCCCTCATCTGCCATTTTTAATGCCACATGTCGAAGAGTTGCTGTCTTCCCAACACCTGAACTACCTGTAATGATTACACAACTGTTTTCTTGAATTTTTTTCATAACATGTTTGGAAGCTCTCGTTTCAACGAAGTCAACGGCATTCATTTTCCATTCTTCCAAAATATGATTCATCTGAACTGAAACGTATATAAAGAAAATCAATTTGATTTTTTTTATCATGTATAAGGTATCTTAAACAGCATTTTGGAAACTGGGATAATAAACATAATCAAACTACGCTAAATACATTCTAAATTTCAGACTAAATTTAAAGTAATGCCGAAAATCAAATCATAGGTAACATCCAATGTTTGACTGTTTTTACACTTGTTGACTCTAAGAGTTCAACGGGTACAATAATTCCATTTTAAACCAAAGCATGAATACAAAGAACAATGAACTTTATTATGAATTTAAATCACTCTGTATTAATCCCAGGTCAGCCCAAGTCCGCAAATTAAGTCTCATGTACAATCAGATCTTTTCTCTCCACCTCATCAAATGTTTATATTAACAGAATTACGAAAAAGGCCAAAACAATTTCGGTTTCCAACAGATATCATTTTTTTCACTACATTATTCTCTTGAACCAAATTCAACACGTACCAAGTTATCGTACACTTGTAATTAACGTGTTCATCAAATTTTAAAGGTAATCATTATCTTTGCATTCCAATTTCACTGTATTAATATTACTGTATCTTTTCATGGGTATTGCAATGACTAGTGATATGTCACTGTGGAAATTGTAGAATGGAATGAAAGGGATTTGTTTGAACATGACAAATTTGCATTAAGAAAACTTTAATAGTGAGATATTCATTTAGATCACGTGTGCATATTATAGTTTTGGGCAATTGTAATGGTCATGTGTACTGAAAACATAATGGGGATCATCACACGGAATATTGAAATTAACAAGGTATGTAACGTTCTTCTTTAAAACCATAAAAAGCAAATTGACCATAATAGTCATGGCTTTAAATATTTCTTCCATCTGTTTTGAAACTTAAAGTAAGGACATAAATGATGGTTGTATGGTTCCGGAGGAGAAAGAGGGGTTTTAGATTTTTAGTGAAAGATAATTCGGAATATCGACTATGAACTATGAAATAACTCGCTTCTCAATATTCGAACTTCAGAAACAGTCTTGATTCATTTATTTTTTCGTTTTGGTTCTTACTTCGTAATTTTCTGCTTATTGTTGATTGGTAAAATACTATAGTCCTTACCTCTTATATTCCAGGGCACTGTTGATCGATTTAAACACTTTATTTTCAGCTCAGTACATTCGTCAAGCATATCCTGACCACCTAGTCTTCCTACAGCCTGTACAAATTTCATCATGTATTACTAACCATGCAAATGACAGATGAGACAAAGGCCACATTTGAACTTTTTTAAAACGAAATTTGAACATTCAGTAAGCGAGTTTCATGTATGTCTGTTTAAAGGTTGACATAATGTAGAATAAGAAAAAATAGAAGATTTCGATCAATATTGTCAAAATAAATACCCTTTCATGCTTTATCACAAAAATATATAGATTTTAGACATTTTCAGATACCTTTGGATCAGCAAATATAGAGAATATGCATAATTATACCAACTAAATAATTTCCAACAATCTTTATCTAAATAAAAACACCTTTTATGTTTATATTTTTGTGGAACTTGCATGCGTTCAATAATTCTGACTAGAAATGATTGTGAATATATTTAAACATTTGTATTTTTTGTAGAAAAATCGAAATTTTTCTTTGACTTAGATATCGAGTCAAATATTTGAAATATTATACAGATATCACAGTTTTAACTTTGCATGTTATTAACATATTTCTCAGACCACAATTTTAACAGTTTTTGAAGGGCACATGTCAGACAATAATGAATATAGTTGTATGAACAAAAACACTTCACAACCTTAATCCACATCTTGCAATTTACACAATGATTTTTTTTAAAGAAATAGCTTCTGGTAAATTTTAATGTTGGTGTTTTTTTTTTAAAGGACCAGATATTTACATGAAACATTGCATACATATCTGACGCATTTTACATTCTGTCAATTATCACGATATTGAGGACTACTCTCGATTTGTTATCCGATTTCTTAATGATCTTTTTGGCAACGCAGTTTACAAAAATGAAAATGTAAATTCGTTAAGAGTTGAAATGAGATTTATGTTTCACCAATGCTGTTTTTTCCGTCATATCTGCATAATATTTTTGTTATTTTAAGAGGAACTTGCATTCATGAATCCAATCAACATTGAAACAATCTGTGGCAATAAATAATCCTAATCACAGATTACAACAAGCAGCAAAGTTTTCGTTTTATCTATTGGACTCAATGAACAATAGACTCTGCATACATCATTCCTGCAAATTTTGGTTGTGTTGGCCATGAGAATTGAGACAAACGGACGAACAACCATTTATGACAGCAGATCTTTGAGTTTATGATTATATGAGGTGCATGGCATTTCAAGGACAATAAAGAATAATAGTTTTTACATTCCATAAAATACTTAAAGAAATTTAATGTTCATTTTATTGTTATTTATTCATTGGGAAAACAGTCTTTGGCATAGTAATTGTCGTCAATATAAGACAATTGGTAGAAATCGATAACAGTTCACTAAGTAATGATAAAACAAAGCTATATTCTGAAAGTGGTGAATTAAATCTCTCCTCTGAGGACAATGTCCCCTCATATTTTATTACCAACAAACTAGCAGTGAAATTTCTTCCTTCCTACAAGTTTTCCAAAACATACCCCACTAATATCATCCCATGCCTTGTTTAAACATGCACTGTCTATCTTTCCATCTTTATTGTCTGATATATGGGATATGCAGTTCCTGTAATGTTTTATCCTGGCCAAATCTGCCGATTTTGACACATCTGTTTCAAATGGCAACTTTGTATAATAGTTCAACTTTGTAAGATTCATGAGCAATGTTGTCATCAAAGTTACATCAAAACTTCTTGAATCTGCCTTACCTGTAAAGTAAAAGCGGATAATAATATCATAACAACATAACAAGGACAAAAGTAGTGAGACTGTCTTAAATGAGATAATTGATAAATAATCAGTGACTTCACCGTGGACTCGTTATCTAGATAAAATAAAGATATTCATAACGTATAGTATTTGATAAATTGTCTCATGATCATGCAAAAGTACCTTTGATCAATGGACCAAAGCGCTGACTAAGTCATATGAACCATGTCAAATGAACATGTTCACTTACCAATGAAAAAGTAAAAGAATCTTAGCATAACACGGTCATTTGGATCTTCACATCATCTGGAAATTCTTAATAATTAATTCAGTACTTTGCAGACAATTCGTTTGCAGTCAATTCAGTACTGTGTAGTAGCGTATTCGACAGTTCAGTATTCTGTTGATGTGTACAAGTAGATAACAACAAGCATTCTGAGAGTATTGCATGGCAATACATAGTCCCCTACCGGGTAAAAAATCATTTTACTGGAACAAAATGCTAACTTGTTCTATAACTTGTCATGGTGTAAACAAAAAGTAAATATCATGTCAATATCTTCAAGCATGACTAAAAACAGTGTGGAAAACTGATTATATGAGTGAAAAAACATTAGATATGATTAATAGTTCTCTAAAATAAGTTATGATGTAATACAGTGTATAACTATTTTCTAATTATAATCAAATATAATTAATAGTTCCAAATATTTTTTCTTTCATTTGTCACAAACTAATATAGATTTGTAACTTATCTATAAAATGTCAACAACTTGTATCTACACAATGTAATGTATTGAAATATATACATTAATAAAAATAGATTATTATCTAATTGAAGGAGTTCTCTTCATATTTTTTTTTATATATATATAGCATTCAGAAAATTAGTTTATACTAAATAACAAACAAACCTGCCAAAAAAATCTTCAAATAATTTAACAAAGAATGTCTTTTAAAAAATGAGTTATATCCCTTTATACAGAAATATGGCTTAACATAGTACTCTAACATTAGATATGGTCCAGAGTTATGGTTCATAACTCTAGACTAAACCATCAGACCGGAACAAAATTCGAACTTGATCTATAACTTGTCATGATAAAACTATATACCTAATATCAAATCAAAATCTTCAAGAACGAAGAAAAAAAGTGTGGAAAGCTGATTTGCCGGACTGACGGATGGAAAGACGGGCAGATGGACAGATGGACAGATGGACAGACGTACAGATGGACAGACGGACAGACGGACGGAGTGAAAACCTAAAGTCCCTTTCGACTTCGTCGGTAAGGGACAAATTAACGAACAGTCCGAACAAAGACTGAACAAGTCTTAATTGACTGCAAACAAAATAGATAAAATTGACTGAAATTTCATAAAATGACTAAATAATTTCTTTTTTGATTGTTGATTGAGACAACTTTCAATTCGAGACCAAATGGCTTTAAATTTAAAATTATAAGTCATAGTGTTGACTTCAACAATGAGCAAAACAAAAAACGCATAGTAAGTTATAAAAGGCCTCGAAATGACAAATTTAGAACATTTAAACGAGAAAACTAACGCCCTTATTTATGGCAAATATGATGAAAGCAACTCACGATAATCACTGAAATACAGGCTTCTGATTTGGGACACAAAATGAATGTGGCGGGGCTAAACATGTTTGCCGGCGCCAAACTCCCCCTTTCTACAGTGACTTTTAAAGATGTTAAGATCAAAATGACTGTTTCAAATCAAAATATTTTACTCTTGATCATTATACATGTATTAAGAGTTTTTACCTGATAAACGCTTATATATCACTACAAACCAGTACAAGTCTTAAATCGCCTATATCTGCACTCGACTGTACTGATTTTTACTCGACCAGTCTGAATTGTTCTGAAATTTACTTGATAATACTGTTGACTTATATTTTCAATGTTAAAAGAACATCTTTTTTTAACAAAACGCTAAAACTTTAAAATTAATATAATCAAATTATTATAAAAGATAATTTATTTTAAATATATCTCTATTTTGTCAATCTGAGAGTCATGTAAGGATGTAAAGATCTGTTTTATAAAATGTATCTTTATTCTTTTGTGGCTGTTGTCATGTCAGTTAAAAAAAATGATTTTAACAGTTAAAATTTTAAACAAAAAGTAGAGGTTATTTGGTCAAGTGTGGTTCAGACTCGTCGACTATTGTCGAGACCTTTGGTCGAGTATGGTTTTGAGTGAAAAAAATGGTCGAGTACAGGTCGAGAATGGGTCAAGACCATTTTCAATGGTAAAGATAAGGGTCAAGTACAAATCAGTACAGTCGAGTATGGTTAAGACTGGAGTCTAGTAAAAATCAGTACATTCGAGAACAAATATCAGAATATAGACCATTTCAGACTTTTACTGGTTTGTACTGTATAGAATTGGAGAATCTATTCTATATCATTTGTCATTTAAAAACCACAACACACTATATTCAATTACTCTCTGACACTGTAGCGTATCCTACAGATGTGGAGTAAATCTTTTGTTCAACGGCTTCGTTTGTTTTAGGATAAGAAAGTAATTTTCGTTTGTTCAATTCCATGCATGCGAAAGTTTTTTTTTCCCCCTTTATATAGTACGTTTGGTGGTTTCTTATAGAAGCTTTATCAGAAAGCACATTTCTTAATAACTATATACTACCATAACGAAAAAGGACCGGAACTTACTTAACGGTTAATTTTAGATTATGGAGTAGGCCTGTTATCTTTTATTAGTATTTGTTTTTAAAATATAGCTAAAATGGTCTAATCTCCATATATATGAATGCCATTGAACAGTCTTACTCATGACTGAACAGACCATAGGTATCTTCAAATGTTTTGAATTATTCACTAGATTGCGGTCACTCATTGACTACTTTTTATAAAATTCAGGATCATCAAATAAAACATTTATCAAATAAATAACTTATTAATCCTTTATTGAATATCATTAATAAGACAAATATCAGGAAATTCTCTTGGCAAATGGGGGAGGCTGATCTTTCTTTTTTTTTTTAGATCAGAACACCGTTGACTACAAGTGATGCTAAATGAATACACAAAATAAAAAAAAATTAATTTTGTTTGATAGTCCATAAAAATTGTCACATTCAAAAGACTTTGTTTTTTCCGGGAAAAACATATATCCTGTTAACTGACAGAAATTAGCCAAACTGAAGATGTTGTTTTTTGAGAAGTTTACAATTGTTAAATAAAAAAGACAATTTTGTTTAAATATTTTCTATTTATAAGATTTTCTATATTCAGTGATTACGACATTCTTTATGAGCATTTCGGTTAAGATTTATCACATTTTTGATATGTAGTAGTATATTCTGAATGGACATGACATAGGCCAGAACGTTACTGAACAAAAAGTATTGTACCAACTTTTTTGCACCAGGTGGGCACTTAGAAAAAAGTCTCTTTTATGATGCTAGAGGTATGACAAAAATATATTGATTCACAAAACAATGAATGTTTGAAATCATATTTGTAGTATTAATATTGTTAAAGAAAACAAGCTAGGCAATCATACCACATCTTCTTTTTGTATTGTTAAATCACTGGCTTCATGGCTCCTATATGTATCCTTTGCATTATCAAAAGTTTAAAATAATTCATTGAATAATGCAAATGACAATTGTCTACAATGTACAAGATGCACAATAACTTTTGATTTTAACAAATATATATTATTTCAAAGATTCTGTGTTTTGTTATCAAATGCTAGTCAATAGCTTATCTTTTACTTTTTGTCTTATTAACTTTGTGGCTTTCTGTCTGTTTACCATGAAGCCAGTTAACTAAAAACTTTAAATAGGCCATAATGACAGATTATTTTAATGTATATTATTTAATCATTGTTAAATGTTTACAAACATTTTTGTATATCAAGTTGTTCAACATGTCAAAATGAAGTAAGTCTTTTGCTAATTTCAAAAAGAAAAAATACAATCTAAAGTGTAGTTATTTCCTGTGATTTTTCTCCCACTTAGTCCTTAAGGAAAATGTAATAAAAAACACCGGATTACGGTCTCAATATGAGTCTACTACGATCAAACCATGACTCCAGTACGTGTCCATTACGTTGTCACTGCGCTCTTCGTCCCTGACTTTCCAATTGTACACACTAGTGTCCTTGAGAAAACATGCCGTCTAAGGTATCAAAACCATAGAACCACAGATTGCTGAAAGGGCTGTGGATAGTGGAGAAGATACTGATGTATCAAGCCTAGCTGGGGCCGGCAAAACGAGAGGAACCAAGCATGGCGAAATGGCTTGCTATATATATATTCATCTCATATTTTATAATTAAAAAAAATGAATCCATTTAAGGATACTGGTTAAAACAGGAAAACACTGTCGATGGAAAAGTCGATTGAACTGGGAAAGCCTGTCGTGATATAGAAAACATGATACGCCAGTATGAGAACCCGATATGACCGTCTTAGAAAATCCAAAATCCAGTGATGGGGATAAAGAATAAACAGAGAGAGACTAATGGATAATCAAAGTTTTTGACTTTCTGCATCCACATAATCATGAAGTTACAACAAAAACAACTGTGAGCATAACAAAATGTATATCATGATGATGCTTTTGATGGGTGCCACATGTGGAGCAGGATCTGCTTACTCTTCCGGAGCACCTGAGATCACCCCCAGTTTTTGGTGGGGTCCGTGTTGCTTAGTCTTTAGTTTTCTATGTTGTGTCATCTGTACTATTATTTGCCTGTTTGTCTTTTTATTTTTGGCCATGGCGTTGTCAGTTTGTTTTCGATCTATGAGTTTGACTGTCCCTCTGGTATCTTTCGTCCCTCTTGATGCTGTTATTTTGAAAAGCGGGTTTGTTTTTCTTACATTATCATTGCATGCTAATCTTCAATAAATCGACAAAAAACTACAACAATCTTATTTAAAAACAAACTATATAAAAGATATAAATATTCAACATGCATAGCAAATCAATAGACATCATTCG